ATTCTTAAAAAGTACTTTAAACTGTATAAATACAATTGAAAGCGATTGACCAATCAGAAGAAAGTTATCCTATATCCTTATACGTATGTAATATTTTTTAAAAATTAGGCCCTTATGTAATTATTTTTAATCTGGGCCCGTATTTGTAATTATTTCATTTTCCGGGCCCTTATTTGTAAATTCCCTATGATAAATTTCCTTATTACTCAAGAACTGTATGAATCACTTAAATTATTTAGTAAATATATCAAGTGGTTAGTCAAATATGCAGTCCATTAATTGCAATTTTTATATTTCAGTGCGTATGTATCCGATATTTATTCATAAGCGATTCAAGTTCATAAATATCTATCGCTATTATTTAAAGTTTTTTTCTTCCTGTTATTTTATTCTGCGAGTATAAAGAAAATTGATAAGTTCACGATTATTTACTATCTAGCTTAATTTATTTACATGATAAATTCATTTTATTTGATTAAAATTATTAATAGTAATAAAATTATTACATTTAATAAGATAAAAATTTTGCCGTGATTATTTTGTGTTCTATTCACTCTGGATTGATATATTTCTATCATTCTATCAAATTTTCTTTGATTTTTATTTATTATCTCAACCTTCTCATTTATTGCATGAATTTCTTGTTCAATCTTACCAATTATTTCATCGATTATACGTTCTTCAGGATCTTTGGAATCTGCAGAAAAATTACCACTGACATAATCAAGGATGTCTTGTTGTAAATTCGATACATTTGTTAATAACAGATTAAATTTAGAAGTTTCTGCTCTTTCGATTGCGACCTTTGTGTATCCATCCACAGCTAATGTTACAAAAATTCCTAGCGTAGTGCGTTTAGGATATCGTGACAATACGGCCTCAAATTTTCTAATTTCACTGACATCAACTTTCTCATCATGGTTCTTGCACTGAACTAAAATTACGTACCCCTCATAATTTCCAAAAATATCAATCCCTCCATCACCATAAGGTCCTGACAATCTACATTAAAAAAAAAGAAAAAGGTAAGTAAATGTCATCATAATCATCAAGGATATAAATGTTCTAAGTGACTGAATATCAAAACATTTATCCATGCATCCTATTCACCACAGCCCCCGAAGTCAATCAATGGCGTCGTGTAAGCGAAATACACAGTAGCTTTTCGGATTATATATAATCAGAGAAGGACGTTCACAGATCTGGTTATTCCAGTCAAAATAACTACCTGGGCCACGATGCGCTTCCGGTTCTCTGTTTATTATATAATCCTAGTGGCAGCGTAACTTCAGATGCATAATGACTAAACAACTACTTAATAAGATTATCATCTTACCTTACTCTTTGACAATCAATTTTAATTTTTTTAAGAATTCTGAAAACTATAAATTCAAGATCATCTCCTTTTGATGTAGAGGATAAAGTAACAAAATAATCATCTTGATACGTAGCAATATCCATCGAATGTTTCATATTTAGTGGAACTGTTATAGATTTTAAATTTTACAAAATTTACCAAGTTGCTTATATATACTTACTTAACGAATATTCTCACATCTCTCATGCCAGTATTCTATTTTAAGAAAAATTAGACCATCAATTTGAAGAGCATTATTCGATGGACATATTTATGTATCAACAGTACAAGATTTCTGAAATATAGACAAAAAAATAAATTTTATACTTTGGGCGAAGATATTTCGATGACTCCTAACCAAATTCAACGAAAATTTTTTCGTAGAATTCAAATAAAAAAGGTTTCATCGAAATTAATCAGGCAGTCGCCTTTATAAAGTGCATCTATTTGCGCATCAGCTTACGTGATGTTCATTGACAATCTAAACATATTTGACCAATCAAAATTAATCACGGGTCGAATACCTAAATTCGATAAAATTTTTTTATTTTAATTCTATGAATGTGTAGAATTAAAATAAAAATTTTTTCATCGAATTTGATCAGGTGGCTGTCAAGAAATCTTCGCTCAAAGTTCAGAAAGAATCTGCCCGTCTATCAGTAAATTAAGCGCTTTTGAAATTTTTTAAAAAATTTGAGCGAAGTTTTCTCAATAACTACCTAATCAAATTTGGCAATTTTTTCTTATTTTAATTCTACACATTCGTAGAATTAAAATAAAAAAAATTTCATCGAATTTTGTCAGGTGACTGTCGAGAAAACTTCGCTCAAAGGTTAGTTAGGATGGTAAAAAAAACATTTTTTACCGTTTTAAAACATGTGATGACATATCAATGGTTTAACATCCCTAGAATCTGCCCCGTCTATCAGTAAATAAATTTTTAAAACCTTGAACGAAGTTTTCTCGATAACTACCGATGATAATTTTTTTATTTTAATTCTACACATTTTGTGAAATTAAAATAAAAATTTTTTTATCGAATTTGGTCAGGTGGCTGTCGAGAAAACTTCGCTCAAAGTTTAGAAAGAATCTGTCCCGTCTATTAGTAAATTAGCACTGGGGTGACCAATCAATGGTATATGGCAAATAAGCATTTACTATATAAACTATATAGTAAATACTTATTTGTCACATACCATTGATTGGTCACACCAAAGTGCCAAATGAAAGGGATCACCTATAATAATTTCATATTATCATTACCAATTTTCCCCTGCATCGCCACCAAAATTTTCACGTTCACGTAGGATTAGGGTTAGTATGACGGTTAGGATTTAGTGGTAAATATAGTAAAATTGCTCGAGGAAATTTTTTTGTTAGAGCGCAGAAGGTAGTTTCTTATGCTAAT